GGTGCAGGAGTGAAGGGAGCTCAGGAGGTGCAGTGAGCAGGGGTGCAGGAGTGAGGGGTGAAGGTGGAGAGGTGAAGGGTGCAGGAGTGAAGGAAGCTCAGGAGGTGCAGCGAGCAGGGGTGCACTCTGCCTTCTCCAGATGTAGAAGGAAGGCCATTAAAGCGCTAGAATTTAGGAAAGAATGACACACCTTCAAAGTCACATGAATGAGCTGAATCAGGATTTCATCTTAGGAACCTGAATAAAACATGTCCATTTGGCTATAAAGTAAAAGCAGAATCTTTTTAGAGCTTTTAATACACCCACCCTGGTGTATTTGGTATGCTGGCAATGGGAATTTGAACCACGATTTCAGAATGATCTTTAAGGCTTCCAGTATTTATGTCTGATGATAAGAGAACACAGCCAGACCAAAGAGTTATATACACACATTCAAGGACAGAATTTATTTTCAATTAAAGTAAATTCTGGGAGAGGACAAAAAAATAACAATTTTAAGTTCAGAACACAATCATTTTGCTTTCCTTAGAACATTCTTGGAATCTTATTTACATGTCCACAAACCAGAGCATTTTGGAAAGGGACAGTAAGGAATTAATAACTGGGTTTTTCCAGGCTCCAAGATCTGAGAAGACAGAGATCTTGTTATCTGATTAATGCAGTAAAATTAAATAAGTCATTCCAGATTTATACTGCATCATGTATTGTGACTGTGGTTGGGAATTTTAAAAAGAGTTTAAAAAACATGATCTCTGTAATTTAAAGATGAAATAATGGTTTAAATAGTAATTCACACAGACAGGTTTTATAAACTTGCAGCAGATCTTTCCAGAGTAATTTTAATGCTGCATCCAAATGTTCTGTTCTTATCAATGTATTCAAATGTTTTAACTAAATTTCTTCTACTTTTCTAAATTTTATATATTTTTTGCTATGAAAGATTTGCATAATCAGAAAAGATTAATGTAGTAATCATGAATTGCCTTGAATATTTGGCAGCAAGTCAACAAATAAGGCACTTACCTCCCATCCTGGACATCACTGCAAGCATCAAAAGCCACTAATCTAAAACCTGTTTAAGCATTTCAAAAGTGGAAAAAGCTTAGATGGTGTTTTTTGGTTCCTCTGTCTAATGCTACATGAATTAGGATAAGATTTCAGTTTAGTGCCCAGCTTGTGATATCATAATTTTTCTATGTAAGTCATAGATCCTCTGCTTCCTTCTGTTAAAGCTTTTTATGAAACCATTAAGGACATGTGCTCCACAGTGTGCCATGGGCTGTTCATACCAGCAATAGATACAGCACACATTCATGTCCTACGACGTAGAAAATACTATGTCAAGTTTGAGCTTGGGGATGATTAGGACTCTGCAAGGAACCGAATACTAAGTCAATAAATGGCATTGAGCTAAGAAATATTACTGCTACAAACAGCTACCAGTATATGATATGAACACATAAAGAGAAATACACTCAAAATTATACAGTACTGTAACTGGAAGTTTTAAGACTTGAATTTTCATACTGTGATACTGCAAATTATATTTTCTATACTTTTTTTAATATCTAAGGAAAATTCGAAGTAACACAAAAGAAAAGGAAAATAATAAAAATTTGGTTAACTGAATACTTTTTGTTTTTTTAATTTTTAATTTTATTTTTTGTTTTTTTAGAGACAGAGTCTCATTTTATCGCCCTTGGTAGAGTGTGTGGCATCACAGCTCACAGCAACCTCCAACTCCTGGGCTTAGGCGATTCTTTTGCCTCAGCCTCCTGAGTAGCTGGGACTACAGGCACCCGCCACAACTCCTGGCTATTTTTTTTGTTGCAGTTTGGCTGGGGCTGGGTTTGAACCTGCCACCCTTGGTATATGGGGCCGGCACCCTACTCACTGAGCCACAGGGGCCGCCCAAATGGATACATTTTAAATTAAAAGAAATGTTTTTCTTCTTGTATGTAGTATGTACAAAAGTTCCTTCTCCTCCTATAAGAAGTTTCCCCTGTTGTGCTGCTGGATGGGTAAGCGTGAAGTTCCTATCATGCTAGGTGGGATAGTCCTAAGTTATTTTCCAGAATAAAATGACACGTGGAAGGTTGGTTTCTTGCATACGTATTTACTGGTCTGCAACACGAGGTAAGAAGTGACTATGTATATATAGGAAACTTGAATTTATAGCTGTCTAGCATCTGTTAGACGTAGACGTATCAGATGTTCAGCATCAACAGTTCACTGAATGTTGCAGAAATGCACCTGGCTTTTGCATGCATATTTTACTTTGTTTTCTATTTGTGTGCTCCCCCCAAAATGTTTTCAGCCTAATAAATAATTTTGCGATCTTGAATAACAATGCCAGTAAACATTTGAGGAAATAGAGATGGAGAGATTAGCGCTGGATAATAGTAATGCCAAAGGAGAAAATTCCACCATGTGCCATGGCTTATGTCTATAATCCTCACACTGTGGGAGGCAGAGGCAGCTGGATGGCTTGAGCTCAGGAGTTCCAGACCACCCTGAGCAAGAATAACCCCATCTGTGCTAAAAATAGAAAAAACTAGCTGGGCATGGTGGTGCACGCCTATAGTCCCAGCTATGCAGGAAACTGAGCGAGGGTGATCACTTGAGCCCAAGAGTTTGAGGTTGCTGTGAGCTATGATGATGGAGGGAACTCTACCCAGAGTGAGATTTTGTTGAAAAAAATAAAAAATAAAAAATAAAAAAAGAGAGAAAGAAAAAGAAAATTCAAGTATAAGTACTGCTGTTTTCTTAATGAGTACAGCTTGAATGACTTTTTCTGTAAGACACTAATCCAGGAGCTAAGACCTGTGTCTTTTAATCTCTGTCCATTACTTCCCATGTAGACCTGTCACTCAGCCTCCCTGGACTTCAGTTTTCTTATCAGTAACTGAAGGTTACTTAGGTTTAAAGTATTTCCCTTAGGTTTTAAATGTCGGTGAGCGTATAATGAGTAGAATATATTCTGTTTTTATTTATTCATTTTGCTATCAGTGAAGAGCATGTGATTTGAGTGAAGAGAATGTGATTTAAGAGTTACAGTTTGAATACCAATTATGCACATGAAAATAATGTCCCCTTTGTTTCACACAAGGCATATTACATATAGCACACGTACCTAAGCATAATAAGCACTTTAT